ATGAATAAAACAAGGACTATTACTAATTGGTGCAACAGAAAGTAATTGGCATAACACTTTCTCTAAAATTTGTAATAGGATTTGGAAAGACAATATAGCATGTTATACAATGTTAAAGGTGAAAGAATTGCAGGTTACATTAAATTTTAGCAATCTAAATTCAGATTTAAATAGAAAAGAAAATAAGATTGCTAATATGCTAGGTGCCAGCTTTACGAAAAAAGTAGCATTAGCATTAAGAAATCTTAAACTAATATATATAGAACAATTAATTAGCAAGTTAGGTAATCAAATGCTATTATAGCAACAGCTTAAGTTAATACATGGACAATCTTGCAAAGGCAGACAAGCAAAATAGTTTAGTAACATAGAGAAAGAGCTAGAAGTAAATAAGCAAAACAGAATTATAAAAGAGAATTGGTTAGTTAAAAAACCAAATGAACATGCAATAGAAGTCCAACTAGAAGCAGTCTCAGAAGACAGAAGAAAGAAAGAATGGGTGTTGTTAAAGACAGATAAGAAAAAAAGAAATGCTGACTTAATAGTTAAAAAAATTATTTCAAATACACGAAAGAAGGTTTTAGCAGAACATTGAATAATAAACACAGAAATAGAAAAGACAGAATCAGTATTATATAGATGTAACAGCTGCAATTTAGGTCAAAGATCAGAAGATGGAAATTGTATGAAGTGGAAAAACAAAAATGAAATTCAAGGCTCAATTTCAAAGTTTGTTAAAAATCAAAAAAAGCAAACTCTAGTAATTAATTTTGATATGATAACACAGTCACGAAGAAAAGAAGAAATAAAACAAAACAACAGCAAAAGAAAAGTAGAGTATATACAATATATGGATTTAGAAACAGAAATTATTCAAAAACAGCCAATAAGTAGGACAATGAAGAAAGAACTTATTTATAAAAAAGACTTAAACCAAACAAGACTAGAAAAAGACTTAATCTTTTATACAGATAGATCTTTAAAAAAAGGAATGAAAACTTTAAATCAAGACCCAGATCATATAGATGCAGGATGGATTCAAGTAGATGAAAAAGAGAAAGAAGTGCTTGATAAAAGATATTTTAAAGTATGAAACTGGCCATCTTCAACAAAACCAGAGTTATTAGCAATATGGTTTGTGTTACTTATGATACCAAAAAAGAAAACAGTTAGAATTTATACAGATAGTGCAATAGCAATTGCAAACATAAAAGAAAAAAATACAAAAAATTTAACTAAACAATGACTTAAAAGAAAAAACTACAATCTATTAGAGAATATTAATGATTGTATAAAATTAAAAGAGCTCAAATTAGAATTAATTAAAGTTAAAGAACACAGTGAGAACAAATAGAATATTAAAGCAGACAAATTAGCAAAAAAAGGTTCAAGACTAGACAATATAGATAGAATAGTAAAGGAAACAACACAAAAAACTAGTATTAACCTTTGTTAGAAAGATGAAATAGTAGAGGATCCTACAAGACAATTTATAAAAGAAATCTTAGACTTAAAGAAAAGTATAAAGTGGAGCTTTACAACAGCAATTAAAAAGATGAAACCAGATTGGAGTAATCAAACATACAACTGGTCATATTTTTGAAAAAAGATAAAAGATCAAAATGAAAGCAAATGCTCAAGTATAGAAAAAACAAACGAATAAGAACTTTGATTAAATGTATAAATGAAAAATTACTAGTAGCCAAAAATACTAGTACAATGTTGTTCAGATCTATATGAAAATGCATATTGCATTATTTGTAAAGAAAATATAGATAAAAATCAAGACCATCTAGCAATGTGTAAATGTTATGAGAATATATGGAAAAATATAAAGAACATATCAACTAATTTAGCATGGATGAAGCTCTTAGATAAAACTAGACGAGAAGCAAATAAAGATCAGCTTAAAGAAGTATTTTGGAATACACAAACAAAAGAAAATGTAAAAGTAAGGTGCGGAATAATCAAAGGCCTAATACTAGAAAGAACAGTAAAATCACTACAAAATCTATTAAATTTAAATAAAGAAATAAAAAAGTTTGTTTCAATAGCAATTAATATAGCATAGAATTGCTTCTATGAAGATATATGAAAAAAATGATGTGAAGTCTTCATTTTATGGGAAAAATAAATAGGAATTGATAGGAAGGTAAAAAGAGAAAAAAAAATACGAAGAAAAATCTAACAAAAAAAGTTAACAATATTAACACTAAAGTAAAAACTGTTAGAATAGAAAAGAACCAAATTATGAAAGCAAAAGAAAGTAAAAAAGAGGAGAAAAAAATAGAAATACACAAGGCATGGTCTGACTCAATCACAAATTTTATTTATAATAAATCAAGACTATTTATATATGACCTTATTGGCTAGTCTGGTACAACTCCTGGATCCAAGTACATTCCCAACCAGTGTGGCAGACCATCTCTGGGTACTCAAAGAAGTAATCAGAAGATGTCGAACCAGAAATTTAAGTTAAAATGTATGTAATGTATATACAAAAATCTTAATAAAGGTTTACAGCAAGTTTGCCAAAGTTAGAAAAAAAAAATTACTACACCAATTTATAAACTAATAAAATTTTAGTTTTTATATCTAATCATGTTATAATTAATATTAAACACTGTAAATATACAAACTTTAACTTTGATGATCCTAATTTGAATTATGTAATGCATTTATAATATATAATATTTGACCTAGTTCCTTAATGTATAAAATTATAAGCATTGCATAGCAATTGTTTTAAAAAAAAACATTTTATAAATGTATTTGATTCCTTTTGAAAATAATATTAGTAATTTTTAACTCTAATATGATATCTTGTAACTTATTGATTAAAATTACATAATTGGTGCCAATTTTGATTGATAGGTTTTTGTACCAAAAGAATTTATTATAGTGCAAGTAAGTTTTTTACAAATAACTATTAATAAAAATTTATCCAAATTTTATAAAAATTTAAAAGTAAGTAGAATTTGTTATGATGAACAAAATTGTCTTAATAATAAAAGTTGATTTACTTAATAAAAAAAACCAGAATTAACATGCTACAATTAGGTTTTATTAAAACTTAAAATTTAAAATTTTATCCCAAGTAACAGGTCTAGAGTTCAAATCCCAGTGACAGTAAAAATTTGCAATTCTTTCTGTGTTACAGCTAACTGTCTTCCATGATTGGTTGGAATAGGATACCTGTAACCCGTGTCATACCAGCCTGACTGAAAGGTCTAAGGCACTCGTACAATGTTGTATGAGGGAACACAAACCGGTACCAGGCAGTGTAAACCCAAGATAAGTCTTTAGGCCATGTAAATCAAAGGAACCAGATAGGAAGATAGAAGCCCACTTGGAAGACCCGAGTAGAAAGGTAACCCGAACCTTCGACAGTGCTACTATAAAGACTAGACTTATGAAACAAAGCTAGAACTTGTGAAACCGGGCAAATGTGCTGGTCTTTAAGGAGGGACCAGATGAACCAACCAGACTGCCGAAATTTCCAGGTTCTGAAGGAAAAGGGCACATGCTGGCAAACATGTGAACCAGAGGTGTATAGTTTCAACCTACCTTTCTAGGCTATCTGGAATGACAACTTGGTAGAACTTAAATTGAATACCAAAGTAGTAAGGATATGTTGTGAAATAAGTATCGGGATTGGGGTAAACTCTACAAGAGCATAATGGTTTAATAATACGCCCTGACCGCCAGTGTTGGTCTCGACCATAGCGATACCAGGTCAGCTGTAAGAATGGGATACAGAAGATTCTGGAAGGTTTAGTACAAGATTAAAGGTTCCCCATGTGAGTGAACCACTTTAAAGACTTAGTAACCATGGCATATTTGAACCGGTATCGACCGAGGCATCTTGGTAGGTGTAGGTAGGTGAGTGGATATGGGAACAGAGTGGTTAAATAGAGAACCTACAAGTGGGTTCCAGGTATGACAGCTAGTATAGAACCTTCGGGCGGACTACTTAAATTAGACAATGACTAAAGTTGTACGAGTAGCTAGTTGTACACTCTTTCTATGGTTGCCCCCTGTGGTTGTAATGCAACCATTAGCTGAATGTACTATCAATAAAATCCTGGGTCGCAAGTACTCACCTTAATATTTAAAAAAAAAAAAAATTAAAATTTTATTTATTTTATTCAAGTATCAAAAGATATCACGTGTGCGCCATAATTGGTACTGTGCCATAATACCCATACTTACCTTATATATGAAAAATTAAAAAAAGAAAAGCCGGCCGGGTCTGATCAAAAGTTTCATGCTATAAAAACCAAGATATTAAATTTGTGTGGCCTAAATGAAAAAGGAATACAAAATTTCAGAACCAAATTTGTTACTAAAGCTAATTGCATATAAACTGTTTAACTAATAATGCATAAAAATTAATTGTTACACGGAATTTTATAATTTGATTGGTTAAATTATAAAATATTAATATTTTATTAATATTTTTACATAATTTAATTTTTTGTAAATGAATATTCTGTCTAAATGAATATTTAATTGGTCCACCGACCATATTCATTTAGACAGGTTTGACTGTAGCTAGTTTTTTAGAAAAAGCAATTTGTAATTGTTATTTGGTTTTCATGTGATTAATTGCTATCTATTTAAACCAATCAAAAATCGAGAAAATTGAATAACCAACCAAAATTTAGAACCTACTAACACATATAAATACCATAATTTAACGTTCGTTATTTGATTCAATAATTAACTTCCAATGGAGTCAAGAGATATTTCATATTATAACTCGTCTTCCAAAACTTACAATACACCGGTGAACTGCACGTCAGTTAGCCCAAACAGTCAGTTACCTCATTTCGATCCTTTTAAACCCGCGGAATATGTCTTGAACAACTTAGGTATCTACTTTTAATTACAGGTATATTTACATTTTAAGAAATTAAATTTCATTTGATAAATAACAGGACCTGTACCAGGAGAAGAAAAGATTTATGCAAAATTGTTTAAACAAAATGTTCAGAATACTGGTGGTGCGAGTTCATCAGTAGGCAATTCTAAATCAGTTGAGGTTAATTCAGTTATAGTTGTATCAGACGAAGATGATAAACCGAAAGATGGAGATCACGTTGGAGATAAAGACAAACTGTTCCGTCTTTATTCTCACAAGCTTCATATACGAAAGCCACGCGTGCCTTACGCCAGAATTAGCTTTGATGATTCCGGTATTTTTTCAGATTCAGATGAATTTGCTTAAACATCACTGTAGGGTTGCGATCCAATCCTTTTTTGGATTGATCTAGTTTGGGTTTGGGAATCAGCATTTCTACTTCATTTGGCATAACGATAACAAAAACTCATTTTCGGTCAATAGCATCAATTTCAAATTGACACAATTCTAAATTTCATTTTCGTTTTAAAATTAAGAATCTAAACAGGATGTTAATCAATTGATACGGAAATGTGAACAATAAGTGAAAAAAAATTATAGAAGATTTTTCACATCCAAAATAAAACTTTGAATTGTAAATAAACTTTTCGAACGAGTTTTCCTAAAATTCGAAAGTGTCTAAGAGTTCAGAAAGTAAGAACTCTTAATTATTTTCGTTGTTAATTGATAAATGAACTACTAACTCCCGTGAAATCGTTTAAATATAATTAATACGTGTAAAGTTGGTCATTCTACGTAGTCAAATTTGCTACTAAAGTTTTTGTAATATTTGAATTTAACCAATTAATCAGATGAAAATCATCTAAATTTAATAGCCAATTATTGAACTTTGCCATGCTATTAATTAAGTGTAGAGAATAAGTAAATTATTTTTTATATAATTTTAGTGATAAATCTTTTTATATTTAATATTTTAAAATTTTTATTAAGATAATTACTTTTAAGTTTCTAAGTTGTAAAGAATATTTTTTGATTTAATAGTAATATTAAATCCTATTTTTTGTTTACAAAATTATATAATGATTATATAATACGTATAATCAATCAAAAATTAATAATTTGTATAATTTTAGAAAATTTATATTTTTAAAGTTTTTTTTAAGTAGTTATGTTAGTACTTTATTAAGATTCTTGAAACTATTTTTGCAATTACATAAAGATACTTAACAACTAAGTTTAGTATTATCTGGCCATCCTAATAGTATCTAAGTACAATCTGTCACATTATTTCAAACAGAAATAGGTTGCTTGTCTGACTACTTAAAGTTTATAATAAAAGGTCTTTTTTCTTTTATAATAAGCTCTAATATTGTTTTTCTAATTTTTTCTTTAATTTATTTTTCTTTTCTTTTTGTTTGTTTTTTTTTCTTTTTTATATTCTGTTTATTCATCTTTTTTTCTGGCTTAAATTCTTATTTTGAGTTTTTTTTTATTTTGCTTGTTATTGTTTTTTATTTTTTTATTTATTGATCTTTCATATTGTGTTTTTCAAATTTGTTTATAAAAAGTATTCTAAACTAATTTGTTACTATATTTATAAATTATTGTCTTGATTTTGTACTTAGAAATTGAGTTAATTGGTTTTATGTTTTCTTTGAAATTAGATTTTTAATTAATATTTTTTTATTTTTATTTTTTTTATTTTATTTTTTAAAGAATATTGTATATAGTATATATAAAGAAACTTAAGTTCTTTTATCTTTTTTTTATTCTTTTTATAATATTATAATAAATACTTTTTAAATTCTTTTTTAAAAATTTGGTTGTTCCTTGTTGATGTCAAATATAATTGTATTTTTTTAGCTTGATTTTAACATACTTGATATTTATATATTTAGTTTTTTTTGTTAAGTTTTTCTAAAATCAAAAGTTTATCTATTATATATGATATAAATATTTTTATTATTATTATTTTTTCTTATTATCTTTAGTCTTTTTCAAAAATGTATTTAATTATAAATTATAATTTCTGTTTCTAGTTCTAAGTTTTTAATTACTTTAATTTTTTTACTCTATTTCTAATTTAGTATTTGTTACTAGTTTGTATAGAAGTCTTGCTAATATATTAGTTCATTTGTTTTCTTATTTTTTTTTTATTCTAAGTAGTATTTTATTATTTTACAACTAACTTCTTTTATATATATTATCTTTTTACTTATTATTTTTTTATAAGACTATTAATTTTATTATTTTATTATCTTTACTATAATTTTTTATTATAATATCAATAATCTTTATTATTTATATTATATTTTTTTAAAAAAAATCTTATTTTTGTTTGTATTGTTATAGATAAAAGTTTTTTTAATTTTTACACTATAATGATAACATAGTACAGGAAATCCCTTACAGGTATATGTGGTGTTCAAGAGGAAAGTATAACTTCTGTTAGACGTTGTTAAGAAACTATACTCTTCTTTGAGACAGTTCAGAAAAAGTAATACAATACTAATAACTTTACTTTATTTTACTAAGAGAAGATAAATCTTGCCTGTAGGAATTACTCTAAAGAGGGAGTATCAATACAGTTTATAGTCAAAAGTCATTTATTAAAGTAATAACAAAAAGGGTTATTCTTAGGTTTCTGTTTTTAAAGTATTCCAAAATGTATTTACAATATTAAAGAAAAGAAAGGTGTCTGTTGCTTAATCGCACTTGAGAAATTTAGCAAGGTTTATATATCTATAAGCTAAGCAGCTAAGTGGCTAAGTGACTAAGTGATTAAGTAACTAAGTAACTAAGCATTAAGCAACTAAGCGACTAAGTGACTAAGTGATTACTAAGCAACTGGAATGTTTTAGCAACTAATAACTAATAATTACTAAGTGACTAATTACTAAGCAACTAAATAGCTAAACAACTAAGTGACTAAGTGACTAAGTAACTAAGTAATTACTAATCAACCAAAAAGTTTTAGCAAGTACTAGTAATAATAATAATACAATAATAGAATAACTAATACTTTTTTTTTTTTTTTTAATCTTTGGCAGTCACAATGATCAACTAGTCAGAAGTTTATATATAAATGTTTAGTACAGACAATATACAAATAGAATTATATCTAACTCCATATATCATCATCACGCAGTTTCCCCAATTAGCACCTACGAGTGACTTGCTGCATCAGATCTGCTAAAGTCTGGATCGAGCTCGTCTGTCTGCTGCCCTACAATTGAACAGTACCAATCTGATACCATTCATTTGTAGGAAGGTAAAAAATCAAAAAAAAAATTTTTTCTTGTTGAGAGGGAATGCATTAAAAAAAATATATATATAGGAGGAAAATGTAAAAAAAAACAAATATCAAAAAATAAAAAAGAAGGAGATTGCTGACAAAGGCCAGACAAATGGTCACTAATTATAAAGGCTGTATTAGCTTATTAAAAATTATATATTACTAAATATAGTAATCTCTATTTTTTTTTTTTTTTTTTTTTTGAAGTTAAGGTGAGGTCATGCCTCAGATCTGTTTATTCGAATATATTGTTACAGTTTGTACAACTTTTTACATTATACATTATCTATTACTATATGTCTAATTA